CATTTGTGAATAATAATAATTAAGAAAACTGAAATAAAATACATTGAAGTGTTGACAGTTTTTATATCTGAGGAGTAAGATTACAGGTGACTTTAATTAGCTTTTTTATATTTTTCTAGATTTGCCCAATTTTCCGTAATGTTAATGTATTACTTTAATAATTTAAAAATATTATTTAAGGAGGTGGGGCAAAGATGACAGAATAGTCAGACACTTACAGTTGTCCCTCTTACAACAAAGACCCGAAAAACCCAGCAAATTGAATACAAATGACAATTTAGGAACTTAATCATCAAAGAAAAAGCTGAAGAATCGGACCAAGTGGCAGGTGGAAGGAGGGACGATTCAAAAGCAGCGGAAATGGGGAACTACATATTGCAGATTCGATGGTGCCCTGCTAGCTGAGTCTGCACAGTGCACATGGACTGAGGCAAGCAGCAACATTCCAATCCGAGGCTCACCACATCTGGTGCAGCCAAGCAGCAGCAAATCTGCATGCACCTCCAGAACCACAGGAGTCACACCAACCTGGGAAAGTACGTGTAAGCTCTCAACCTACCCCATGTGCTGGCCAAATAACCCGTTCACCTCCCAAGAGCTTCATTGTGGAGAAGCACTTCCTTCCCCTTAACCACCCCCTACCCTGCTCTGACACCAGTCCCACAGCATTCAACAATGCCATGACCCCTAAGCTGGGAATCCAGGACCAGTTGGGTGGCTCTACCCCTTCGTCCAGCCACTGGCATACAAGGTCCATGTATTTGCAGTGCCCCTCACCCCTGCCCAGTCCCTTGTGAGCTGATTCAATACTGCATGCCCTTATTAGCACAGAACAGCAGGGCATACATCTGAAGCCCATTTTCACTTGCAGCAGTCAAGGGGGGGCTGCAGATTTGTGACATTCGACACCACTCTGCCCCCTAAGAAGGGGTCTCACCCACCCACATTGAAGGTCTGAGGGCCAGCAGTACCATCCACTCCATCTAGCCACCCAAGACAAGGGTCTAAGAATCAGTGGTGCCTCCCAATCCCCCTAGCCAATGGCACCGGCTGCCCAAAGACTGGCTGCACTATCCTCCCCCAACTATGCGCTCCAGGGGATGGGGAAACACCCACCATCCAGCCACCCAGGGGCATCTGTCAGCCCCCTCCCTTGCCCACACATTGCCCCCAACAGCAACCAAAGCCCTGTTCCTGTTCTGAACACCCCTAAGCAGCCCTGTGCAACTAGGACTATAGGTGAGAGTCTGCATCACACACACAGTGACTGATGACCCTGACACCTGTGCTCTGAGTAACTGCACCCCCATAAGAACATTAAACAGACTCCTGGGCTCTCACACCTAGTAGCTGCTCTGACCACCTGGAGACAGGATGTGAGAGCTTCCACAATGCCAACACCCAAAGTAGCTTACACATCCAGGCTACTTGGACATATCAAAACAAAACAAAATGAAAATACAGGATACAGTAAACAAAATACAACAAATAAATATAATAACTTATTGATGCCTTGTAGACAAAGTTGATATCAAATCACGTAAAGAAGCAGGACAAGATGGCTCCAGCAAATGACCAAAATAAAGAACCAGAAAACCTTCCAGAAGAAGATAAGGCAATGGAACTACCTGAGAAAGAATTCAAAAGACTAATATACAGAGCTCTTCAAGAAATCAGGAAGGAGATCAGGCAAAACTCAGACCAAACCAACGAACACACGGACAAAGCAATAGAAGAATTCAGCAAAACAATACAAGAACAAAATGAAGAATAAACAGGCTGCTAAAAACCATAGAGAGACAGCAATCAGAAATCCAAAAGATTAACAATAAAATTTCAGAATTAGATGACTCAATAGAAGGTCATACGAGCAGAAATGAGACCATGGAAACAGATTAGTGAGACTGAAGATAAATTACTTGACATCAATTTGTCTGAGGAAAAATCAGGAAAGAGAATGGAAAAAAAAGGAGAAATACTAAGAATTATGTGGGATACTATCAAGAGGAAAAACCTATGAGTGATTGGAGTACCAGAACTAGGGGGGGGGAGTTGTGGGGGAGGGTATAACAGAAAACACAGAGAGAATTATTAAAGATTTGCTGGCAGAAAACTTCCATAATATCATGAAAGATGAGAAGATATCTATCTGAGAAGCTCAATGAACCACATACAGGGTAGACCCCAAAAGAAAGTCACCAAGACATATCATAATCAAATTTGCCAAAACCAAAGACAAAGAAAGAATCTTGAGAGTGGCTACTGATAAACCAAAAGTTACCTACAAAGGAGAACCAATAAGACTAAGCTCTGATTACTCAGCAGAAACCATGCAAGCAAGAAGGCAATGGGATGACATATATAAAGCCTTGAACGAAAAAGATCACCAGCCAAGAATTATATATCCAGCAAAATTGTCTCTCATATACAATGATGAAATTAGGTCATTTCCAGATAAACAGGAATTACGGGAAGATGTAAAAACCTGACCAAAATTACAGTATTAAAGGGAGTCCTCTAGTTAGAGAACCAACAACATAAAACAACAATCCAAGACTAGGACACAGGACAGATCAACCAGTTATCAACCCAGATTGGTAATTCACAAA